GCACGCCTGTAGTTCCGGCTAATGGAAGGCTGAGGCGGAAGGATCGCCGAAGCCCAGCGGGTTGAGGCTGCGGTGGCCGGGAGCGGCCACTGCACTCCAGTCTGGGCGACAGAGTCCAACTCAAAAAAAAACAAAAACAAAAAAAAACTTATCCTTATGACATAATGCAATACACTTCTACTTACTAGATTTCATGATCCTATGGTTGGTCTCAGGTCAAAGTTTGAAAAACAAAAACCAAACATGTGGCCCTTGTCTGGGCTAGTTTGGGGTTGATCATCTGTTCTGACACAATTCTCTAGTTGTTTCATTTGAGTTAACATTACCCCCCTTCCCTCCTGATCAGGTTATAAACGCAATAGCATGTCTGACATCAGATCGCTCCCTAAAGACTTGTGAAAGCACACTTACACATTCCTGTATCATGCTGTTAGATGTCATCGTCTACGTTCTATTCAAGTATTGCAGTGGCAGAAAAAGGAAATAAATCTTTTTCTTTTTTTAAGTTAAGTCTCACTCTGTTGCCTAGGCTGGAGTGCAGTGGCACCTCACAGCCACGGCAGCCTCGACCTGCTGGACTCAGGCGATCCTTCTGCCTTAGCCTTCCAAGTAGCTGGAACCACAGGCATGCCACCATGCCCAGCTGATGTTTTTATTTGCTGTCAAGACGAGGTCTCGCCATGTTGCTCAGGCTGATCTCGAACATCTGAGCTCAGGTAATCTTCTTGCCTCTGCTTCCCAAAGTGCTGGGTTTACAGGCATGAGTCACCGTGCCTGGTCAAAAATCATAACCAAACTCTTGGTCTCCCTCTAACTCTCACCACTGAGCCCTCTCTGCATGACACGGAGAAGGTGTATACTTGGGGTGGGGGATGCAAAGGGTAGAACACTGACTACAATTGAGCAAAGCACTGTTTCTTTTTTTCTTACATTTGGGGGTTTAATATCTAAGAGAGAAAACATCACACTCCTAGATGCTACTAGAAAGGGTTTTTGAGAAGCAATTTATGATGAACATTATCCAGGAGTTTCTGAGGACTCCTCAAAAGCGCAAGTATATGGGAATCATCTTGACCATTAGAGGCAATTAATATTCTCCGCCTGTCAATTTCTTTCTAAATCTGTACATGTGCTTTTTCCTGTTGTCATGTGCCCTAGTGACATCACCAGGACAGTGGAAAGGAAAATAATGTAAAACTTACTCCTATGAATCCACCGCTTGCTAACAATTATTCTATTCCTTCTTTTTTTTCCATTCCAAAAACACTTGTGGAGTGTCAACTATGTACCAAGCGAGATAGTTTAGGCCTTGAGTGATACTGTGATGGCAAGCCAGATCTGGTATGCCTTTATGGAAGGACACAGTCTAGAGCAGAACGTGTGAAAGACGTATTTGTACTTATTTCCCCACATCAATTCATTCTTTCCTTGCCATTTCTTATACTGAAAAATAACAGACTTGTAAAAATTCTGGCTTGTTCTTACCAAAAAGAGTGCTGACACAATTCAGAGTAGGGAATATCAGCAAAACTCACTGACACTTGAGTAATTCTTTGAGATGTTAAGGATTGTACAGGGACTCACACACCTTGAAGTATAAGGTTCCCTTCTCTTTGACAAGGGCAGCCTGCTCCAATTTTTCCTTGGTATCCATCTCCCAGGATTCTTTGGCCTGTGGGCAAATTTGTGACAATAGTTAGATGAACAAAGAAGGAAAAGTATCAGTTGATGCCCATTAGACAAACCGCAGCTACTCTGGAGGATACCCAGACTCAAAACACTCTGCTGCTGGTATTGTGTTCAGTACCGTTCACTGCTAGGCTAGTGTTCTTTTTGTGTACTGTTGGAGGAAGTCACTTTCCAGGATGACCAAGTGACAGCTTGAGCCATGTTGCTCAAGAGGGAGGAACTAGCAAAAACACAGTAAGGAACATAAACGGTTGAGCACTGTTAAAAAGTGTATCTTTAGAATTATAATGTGAAGACACACAAAGCTAGGGCGCCTCATCTCTCTCTTGCAAACCTCTCCACTAAGATGCTTCTCTCAAGCTTCAGTTTTTCAGCTTTATACTGGGAACACTGTTGTAATTAAGTCACAGCCGTGACCTGAAATTTATAAAGCATTTTTAAATTTCAGGTCAGATTAGACTTGTCACTCTAAAATCACCAGATATTCTTATAATACTGATAAACTGTAGTTTGACTTCCAGACACATACTTGGGGAATTTCAAGTAAAACATAATTGAGAAGGTAAGGCCCATGCACAAGTATTATTTCAGAGCCATAAATAAATGACTTCATTATCATCTGCTAGTTTGTATTATGTGTATTGTTACTCCCCACCATTATACATACAAATACAAAAATAACTACACGCATATGAACAGCCGGATTTAGATGGATCAAAGAACCAAGAGAATAATCTGGGGTTCTTTAGGGAAAGTGAAAATGGGTGTGGTCAGTGCTACTGACTGCATATGAATTATGAAATTTAAGTGGATAACTGTAACATTCTCTCTATTCAAAAGACAGTAAGTGTGTGTTGCTGGTGTCACAGTCCTCACTATCTTCTGATTTTTTTTTTAAGTGAATAATGAAAGGGTCACTAGTCTTCTGGCAACTCACACTGCTTCCTATCAATGCAGCTCCATGACTAAAAATTCCAGATTTCAGCACGTGCGCGCACGTATATATATATATATATACACACACACACCTAGTTAACATGAGCCCTTTGTATTTTTTATATTGGCTCAGTCTTTTTTTTTTTTTGAGTTGAAGTTTCACTCTGTCGCCCAGACTAGAGTGCAGTGGCATGCTCCCGGCCATTGCAGCCTCGACCTGCTGGGCTCCAGCGATCCTTCCGCTCAGCCTTCCAAGTAGCTGGAATTACAGGCGTGCACTACCACGCCCAGCTAATTTTTTGATTTATTGTAAAGATGAGGTCTCGCCAAGTTGCCCAGCCAGGTCTTGAACCCACGGGCTCAGGCAATCCACTCACCTCAGCCTCCCAAAGCGTGGGATTACAGGCTGAGCCACCGAGCCCGGCCCCGGCTCAGTCTTTATGGAGTATAATTATATTCTTACTCTACAAGGCAGAGAGTTAAGTCACACTGCCCCCAACGACATCACACACCTTCTGTGGTTTCAGATATACCAAGCAACACTGCAAAAACACACTCTTGGAGTGATGGCAAGACACAGGCTTGTGTGGCTCACCACGGGGAGAAAGCTCCTGAATGAGCTGTGCCCAGTGGGCCATGGGTAGGGAAGGGCAAAGGGCTACTTTATAAAAATGGAAACAGGAAAGCCAAAGGTCTGAATAACCATATGATAAAGATTATTTCCTCTCTGTTCAACAATAAAAAACACAATATGCTATAAAGCCAGCACTGGAACATCAGTGCTAAACTAGCAGGACTTCAGAAGCAATGCTTGTGACAAGGGCATATGTTTGTTTAGGGGAACATGAACTGGGAGGGGTGTGATAAGGAACACCACTGCTGGAGCAGAATCCCAAAGCAGTCCTTCCCCCACTTTCTTCACCCAAATGTACAAATCCACAGGAAAATGACTTTCTTTGTGAGTCTAACAAAATATAAATAGTCATCTTTGCAGTCAAAAGCTTGATGTACAGAACATGGAGGAAACACTGGGTGGGAACACCAGACATAGGCATTGAGGGGCCCCAGGAAGGGTGGGGCTTTGGAAATGCAAGACGACAGCACATCCCGCTCAGGCATATGCTGTGTGTGTCCAGGTCAGCCACTGCCAGGAGCCTCCAGAGGTGGGCCTGATATGGAGACATGTTCAAGGAGGCATACCATTTCTGGAACCAAGGGCAACTGGCAAATTCTCCTTTCTCTACTTGGATAGGTATGAAAAGAAAGGCCTCGGGCTAGCAGGGTTTCTTTCTTGTATCCCTGGTCACAGAGCCTGGTGGCCCCTGAGGTCTTGCAAATGGGGGTAATAATAACTTGGAGTCACAATGCAGGCCTTGTTGTGACTCCTGTGAAGGGTACAACTCATTCAGCACTGAAGAGCTGCGCTCCACTGCCCCAAGGAGTGGCTTGGCAGAACGTGGACCTTTCTGTCCTCAACTCAGGAAAAAAAAAGAACAAGTCTAGGAATAGATAAGGGAACAATTCTTGGATTCTACCCAAAAAAGTTGAAAAAAAAAAAAAGCCTGACACATAGGAACAAAATAAGAACATGGTGCTCCTGGGTTGTATATCAGCTGTGCTGTGTCAATTGTCCCATACTTTAGCAGCAGTGTTGGAGACAAGACACAAACCTGATAATGAAAAGCACAACATACAAGTAAACACCATCTATCGACATCACCTACTAAAGAAGAGACTGGTTTACAGGAAGTGGATGGAGAAGAGATTGATGGTGATGTTAGGAAAGTTGGTATCCTCTCACCTTTTCGAAGCTCTTAAGTGTAACTTCATATATAAGCTCAGCGTTAGGTTCAATGCCAAATTTAGGCTTCCCTGCCTCTCCAAAACCATATCTGAAATGGAGAGTAAGAAATAAAACTTTAAAAGAATTGGCATATTTCCAGGTACCTCCTTCAGTATTTTGAGGTATCATATTAGCATAGAGTTATCATTTGCAAACTATATACATCAGAGACTCTGAAGACAAACCAGATGTTGATCACAAGATACAGTGCCAAGTTTCACTGCTATGGTTTTCTTAGAAACCAGGCTAGATTTTGTTTTCTTTTTTCCTTCACATTCACATATAATGTAACACATGTACTCCTTGCGACAGCTTATTTAAAGTGATTTTAAATGTCACTGCCTTTTTCTCTGCCTGATTTTATATCTAGTCTTTTTATAAAGCAGCCATGATTTAGATATTAGGAATTTTCCCCTAAGTTTTATCAGCAGGAAGGACAGGGAAGACACAGTCACTGTAATTGTTATAGGAGTGTTTGTCAGAGGTATGGTTTAATAAGCTTTTAACTTTCAAGTGCTGTGACCTTTCAGCAGTACCATTTCCAGTCGGATAAATGGAGGGGAAAGGCTCACACGTCAGGAAATAAGTTTTCACAGTAGTTCTTGAAGAAGTAGTTTTTAAAAGCACACTAGGACACACAAATAACACATGTATAATCAACAATAGCAGCCCTAGCAAGTTCTGACTCATCCACCAAGTAAAACACTCTTATGTCTCTGGAGCTATCATGTTGTAAATGTCACAACACTGAATAAAATACCTGGGGATATATGTTTGTTTTTTGGAATCATTTACGAGCTGTAGCAAATCAAATGTATTCAACAATCACGGGCTAGGTGTGAGTCTGTAATCCTAGCACTTTGAGAGCCAAGGCAGGAGGATTTCTTGAGCCCGGAAGTTCAGGACTAGCCTGACCAACATAGTGAGACCTCGTCTCTACAAAAAAAATTAGCTGGGTGTGATGGCATTCATCTGTAGTCCCAGCTACTCAGGAGGCTGAAGAGGGAGGATCACTTGAGCCATGATTGTGCTACTGCACTACAGTCTGCATGACGGAGTGAGACCCCTCACTCCGACTCAAGGTAAAAAAAAATAAATAAATAAAGCAGCATGTGTTTACCAGAATGGAAGCTCTAGGGGAGCTCTGTCTGGCTCAACAACTTCCCAGCATTTAGAACAATGCCTAGTATATTAGTAAAGTGTCACTAGAACATATTCTGTGCCCATCTGTCGCAAGCTAAACTGTTCTTTAATATGAAGTGGACTTTCAAAAAACTTAGCAAACTCAAATTTTAAGGCTATGGCTTGAAAGATGTCAAATCTGGGTTGATGCTAATACCTCCAGGGTATTTCTCTGGGCAAAGACTAGAGTAGGAACACTCATGTCTTGTTGCTGGTACCACTTTCTTTACCCCTTGAGGGAATTTTCCAGGAAAAAAAAAATGCTTACTCACTCACCTCCAAAGTTACACAAGAAAATGGAAGCTGGAGCCAGAGACAGGCACAGAGATACAGTGAGAGCTAGTAGGAGTGAGGTGTGGTGGTTTTAATAGCAAGGCAAAGGGTATCTTCAGCAAATAAACAAAAAGCCCTAATTACCAGTGGCCAATTTTAGGAAGTGGTGCCTAGTTTTCTACTTTGAGCTCTTAGACCTGTATATCTCCTATTTTGTTTCTGCCATCTAGAAAACAAAGAACATTCGTTAACTGCTGGAAACTAGGGAGGTAGCACATGGCACACTTGGAGTCCTGTACTGAGCTGGTACAAATGCAACGGATGACCTGGCACCTGCTTTAGACCAGTGGCTCTCAACCAGGGTGATATGAACCCCTCCTCCCTCTGGGGACATCTGGCAATGTCTAGAGACATTGTGGGTTGTCACAAATGGGGGGTAACATGGAATCTAGTGAGCCGAGGCCAGGAATGCTGCTGACTATCCTACAATGCCCAGGACAGCTCCCCCACAACCAAGAATTATCCAGCCCCATTTCAATAGTGTTGATGATGAGGAAATCTGCCTTAAAAGAACTCACAAATAGGGGCCCTATGGCTGAGGGTGGGGAGTGTGGGGTTGGGCCAAGAAAGGCATCCAAGTGCCCTATTATCAATGGGATCAAAAAAGAGTAAAGAGAAATATATTTCTAAAATCTCTCTCTGGTCAAAATGAAGGGATCCTGTCAAGATGCAGGTGAAACACATCACCCTGGGGAGGTGTAAGCTCACACCAAACTGTTCTGCGTGCATCTAGTCTACTTCTGTGTTACACAGAAAGTTGCCAGACTTATGCTAGATCAGCCCTGCAAAGAAGGAACCAGGACATGCAATTCCCTGAAAAATAAAACACCACAAAAGGTATTCCAGGACTTAACCAAAAGATAAGCTGAGCTACACTAACAGAAGGGATTCAGTATTAATGTCCTTGAATGAACAGTTGTCTCCAGAGATGAGATACAAAATCATGACTATTTTTTGGGGGGTTGGAGTTTCACTCTGTCACTCAGGCTGGAGTGCAGTGGCATGCACACTCATGGCCACTCAAGCGTTGACTTGCTGGGTTCAGGCGATTCTTCCACCTCAGCCTTCCAAGTAGCTGGAACTACAGGCGTGTGCTACCACGCCCAGCTAATTTTTTATTTATTGTAGAGATGAGGTCTCACCAAATTGCCCAGGCTGGCCTCAAACCCACAGGCTCAGGCAATCTACTCGCCTTGGCCTCCCAAAGTGCTGGGATTACAGGCTGAGTCATTGAGCCCAATCAAATCATGACTATTAATGATCATTAAGCCTTTATATGCATATGGAAGTACTTGTACTACATATAAGCTCTTGCCAATCATTCCTTTTACAGATGAAGAAACTGAAGCTTGGAGAAGTACTTCCTGAGAATTATGCATAGAGGCAGTGACAGAGCCAGGATGTAAATTCAGACTGAATGTCCTCAGAAAATCATTTAGTTTTTTGACCCATACTGCCTCATCATTAGACACTACTGCTTTTGGTAGCCTGCGTTTTTGTTTTGGGTTGGTGTGGGACAGAAAGAAAAGGAAAGGAAGAAAAAGAAAAAAAAGTTAAAACTATACACATTTTACCTAAAACAGAAAAGATTAACCAGTCGTGGTATTTAAAACAACAATATAAAGGGAAGATATTGTCCCAGTGAGAAGAGAGAAAAATGGGTTCTCTGAAAATGTTTTATGAATTTCTTAATTGGAAAATATTCTTTTGAGGAGTCTACCAGAGTCTAAGAGGTGTGCCTTGGAAATTTTTTTGGAGAACGAAATACAGAGATGACACTAAGCATATGGGGGGGCCCAATAAACCCTGGAATTTATTTATAAAACATTGTATATTTATTCTTTTTTTTTTTTGAGTTGGAGTGTCACTCCGTCGCCCAGACTGGAGCGCAGTGGCCGCTTCCGGCCACCGCAGCCTCAACATGCTGGGCTCCAGCGATCCTTCCGCCTCAGCCTTCTGAGTAGCCGGAATTACAGGCATGCACTACCATGTCCGGCTGATTTTTTATTTTTTATTGTAGAGATGAGGTCTCGCTGCCCAGGCGGGTCTCAAACCCGCGGGATCAGGTAATCCACTCACCTCAGCCTCCCAGAGGCGCGGGATTACAGGCTGAGCCACCAAACCCGGCTACATGTATTTATTCTTATATGTTTAAACTTCAATCACCTTCAAAGTACTTTCTTTGATGCAGTACACCTATGGAGACACTTTTTTCACTGCTCAAAACAGTCTTTGAACTTGTCAATTTTGATTCCTTTTAGTGCTTCTGCTGTTTTTTGTTTCACTTCTTCCACATTGGTAAAACGTTTTCCTTGGAGGAAATTTTTCATCCGAGAAACAAAAGAAAGTTGCTCGGTGCGAGATCAGGTGAATAGGGAAGGTAGGGCATGGGGTCATGCTGTTTTTGGCCAAAAACTGTATAACACTCAGCATGGTGTGGGTAGGTATGCTTGCAAATCATCCATCATGAAATGGACAAACGCACTGAAAGAATCTCCAAAAAAATTCACTGAAGCCGAATGCAGCCACTCACAACAGTGCTAGCTGGTACACTGATGCCGATGGGTTCCTAGAACACTTACTTAGCGGGGGAAGCCTGTACCACAAGGGGCTTTCTCTCCAAAAATATTCCGGTTTTTTGGGTCCCCCCTTGTATATTTGCAACATCCACATTTACAGCAATACTCAGGGGTAATGTTTTATGGAAGTGGGAATCTGAATAAACAAATTCATTGCATGCACTCAAAACATGCTTAGTATGTAGGAATTTTCTACATACATGTATAGTACTGTGCTGTGCATATGCAGACAGTCTTGTATGGCAGAGAATGCACTCTACATAATTTCTCAACATACCAACCAACACCTTGAACACAAAAATAACATGTTCCTTTCTTACTATGCCAAATTATTTCTATAAAACATATGAAAAAACTTTTATACCTAGACATTTATGATAACTTGTTGACTACTTTTATGCTTGAAAGACCTGAAAAGTCTATCATGTGTTAAAACAGGATGTTCTTTTTTCCTGTGGTCTGAGGGCAAAATGGAAGAGAAAGATAGTCGTCACAACAGCAATAATAGCTAATATGCTGAGGGCTCCTATGTGTCAGGCACTTGGCTAAGTGCTCCACAACTTTATGAGGTAGAGACTGTGATCCCCACTTACAGGTGGGGAAACTATGGCTTAGGAGAGTGAACTGACTTGTCCAAGTGTACACAGCTGGGAAGCATGAAGCAGGGTATAATCTCTAATGATACAACAAATAGTTTAAACCTACAAGAACTATTTGCATAGAAAAAAATACAAAGACAATTTCTGTTTTTCTTTTTGCCATTAAACTTGAGACATCTGTCCCCACAATTGCCTTATTAGCTAGGTTAAAATGTAATAAATGATTCATGTAAAAGTATATGCTTATAATACAAACAGAACTTATTCTTAAGGAGCTTAAATTTTGAAAACACACATTAGACCTAAGTGCCCGTTATCCCCAAGTTAGAACTACTATAGCTTTGGAATGCTAATTAAAAATAGAGATTTTTTTTAGCCGGGCTCGGTGGCTCAGCCTGTAATCCTGCGCCTTTGGGAGGCTGAGGTGAGTGGATTGCCTGAGCCCACGGGTTCGAGACCTGCCTGGGCAGCGAGACCCCATTTCTACAATAAATCAAAAAATCGCACCGGGCATGGTAGCACATGCCTGTAATTCCAGCTACTTGGAAGGCTGAGGCGGAAGGATCGCCGGAGCCCAGCAGGTCGAGGCTGCGGTGGCCGGGAGCGGCCACTGCACTCCAGTCTGGGCGACAGAGTGAGACTCCAACTCAAAAAAAAAAAAAGAGAGATTTTTCGATATGGAGGAGATAGCCTTCTCTGTGCTCTACTTGATTTTAAAATACTTTCTAGAAACAGAACTAGCTTTGTCTGAAGTGAACTACAAATACAGAGTACATGTAATAAAACACATTGAAGTGGGACTGTAGTAGTGAAAAAAAGAAAAGAGTAGAGGGTAGAGAAAAAGAAGGCATTATATAAAAGGTACCTCAGCGAAGACTTTAAAGAGTTCAAGATAGAGCATTTTGGAGGAATTTTCAAGTGGTAGTAGCCTGGCTAAAACATCACCTCAAAAATATGATTACAGGCACGATGGCTCACACCTGCAATCCCAGCGCTTTGGGAGGGTGAAGCAGGAGGATTGCTTGAGCCCAGGAGCTCACGACATAGCAAGACCTTGTTTCTATAAAAAATAAAGACATTAGCTGAGTGGGGTGGCATGAGCTTGTAGTTCAAGCTACTTGGGAGGCTGAGGCAGAAGGACCACCCAAGCCCAGAAGGTCAAGGTTGCAGTGAGTTGTGATCTTGCCACTGCATTACAGCCTGGGTGACAGTGTGGGATCTCAACTAAAAAAAAAAAAAAGATTCTGTTTAGGGCAAAGGTAAATTTGCCACTGGATTACTACAGAGGCTATACGAAGACAAACAACTGTACCAAAAGACAATATTATCAGTTGGCAAGTGCAGGTCATCACAATTCTCAATAACTTGAAGACCTGCCATCTGAAATGCACGAAGCTAGAGGGAGAATATACTAAATAAGCAGATGCGCTTTCGTGCAAACAGAATCAAAACTCCCTGGTTTCTCTAAGGGGTCCACTTCTTAAGACAGAAGGTTTGGATTCATGGTATAATTTTAGATCTAAAAATAATACCAAACATGTTTTCACAAGAGAGACTGTCAGTGTCTGATAATTCTAAGCTTAAGTGCTAATGGATATCCTTATGATGAGAAAAATTTAGGCAAAAAATGAGTCATCTCCATTGCCTTGAGATCCAGGAAGAACATGCCTTTTTTCAGAGATTCTGTGTAAGAACAGGTGGCACCAACTCAAGTGGCAGTAATTCACCAAACGTGTCTTTGACTCTCAGCCCCCACAAGCTTTACTGCCTCCTGCCTATTAAAGAAAAGGGAAAGGGGGGCAAGAGAACACATGAGAAGGGGCAATAGCTGCCCGTCCTGGCAATACAGCAGGTAAAACAAACAATTACAAAGGCAAAACGTGCCTGTAAGACCTATTTTTAACACTTATCAGTCAAGTAAACACGCTCACAAACCTCTGTAATATTGTAAGAACCATTAATTTACTCAATGACTATCTGTAGCCTGATTTAATAAGCTATTTCCACTGTTGTACTGACTTCACTGAAAATGGCAAATGCCAAATGAAAAGGCGAGCATATCCCTGTTCTTTTGGTAACATTACTGGTGTTCTGAACTGACAGGCTGCTTACCGGGGTCCAAGATATAAAATACACTGTTCTTCCCGCTGCATTTTCTCCAGGGCTTTGTCAATTCCAATTGGAATGTCATGGTCTTCTCCTTCACCAACAGTGAATACCACATCTCTGCAGTCAAACATCCTTTCGCCACAGTGGCCTTCCAGGTAGACTAAGGGCGAGGAGACAGGACAGTCAACAAAGCTACTCCTCAGGACTGGCTAATTTAGTGAAGTGACAAATGAGTGGCCAAAAATGTAGCAAATACCATTTCTCCTTTCTCATTTCATCAAGAGACACACATGGTATGTTTGCTGAAGTTTAGTCCACCCAGTCTGAAAGTTTAAGAGCAACCATATTTCTTTGTTTTAAGTTATGTAATTACTGATAACTGTATCAATAAAGTGGCTTAGTTAGTACCAGAAACGGGACACACGGGTTTAATCTAAGTCTGCTTTATGACAGAAGTTTCCTTATCATACAAGATCAAGAAATACTAGATTATTTAATAGATGGGTTATCAAAATGCCACAAATTTAATATCAAATATGCAATGGCTTAAACATCTATACCTGCATCTTGGTGTAAGATGTTTGGGTCAGGAAAACAACAAAGTGGCTATTTCTTCAATGATATACAAAGGTTCACTGAATATAGAAGCTCTTTCTTCTTTAAGACTCCTAATCTCATTCACAAATATATTTGAATAAATATGGTAAATTCAATGGCAACAACATCAAAGAGTAACTTAGCTGTATCCCTTGGTGGAAATAATAAATATACAGTGTGAAAGAACCAATATCCCGTGCCTTTGGGAGGCTGAGGTGAGTGGACTGCCTGAGCCTGCGGGTTCGAGACCCGCCTGGGCGGCGAGACCTCATCTCTACAATAAATCAAAACATCAGCCAGGTGTGGTCGCGCATGCCTGTAATTCCGGCTACTTGGAAGGCTGAGGCGGAAGGATCGCCGGAGCCCAGCA